TGTGGGCCACGCAGGGGCAAAATTTGGAGAAGGAAGTGGCCATGCCAAGTTGACTCACCCTTTTGTGGCTACCCTTTGGTGAGCCACCCAAGGGGAAAATTTAGAGAAGGATGTCGCCAGATGTTTAAGTGGTTGAACTCTGTCTTCTAAATGTTGCTTTGACATGTAAGGTAAGTTTGGAGGAGATAACTCATTAGTTTTTCTGTCCACAATTAGACCTCTTGTTCGCTTCTATCATGTCTTTTCTTAATAAAAGCATTGCTTCCCTTGACTGCCTTAATTTCGATTCTGTATGTAAATGGTCTAGGTATGAAGTATCCCTCAAATCAAAGGGGCTGAAGTTCATTAACTGCTTTTGAAGATGAACACGGTTGCCAGTCTTTGCATTTTTTTTCGTATTTCCTCTTTGTATATAGTATTTGTAGATTTTTTTTCATCATGTACAACACTTCCGCTTTCTCTCAATTCCAGAACAGTCTATGAAAGCATGTGGCCGAAAACCTCGTAAATTGCTCATTAGGGTCAAGTGCTCCTTCTGTTCCCTTAATAGTGAAATTTGTAATTCCCGACATTTTTGCGTTGTATCTATAACGATTTTTTTACTTCTGTATTGTTGATAAGAACAACTTAAAAACTATTTTGGTCTGGGCTCATGTAATGTATAGCTCTTCTTAAATAACAAAACGCTTCTGATAAACTTTGACTTTCAAATTCTGGATATTTCTGTGAGTTGCTCAATTGAATTTGCCAACTTAAAGTACGTGTTGCATCTTGGAAACCTCTACCATATTAGTCTTCTGTGTTGGCGGCCCCTGTGTCATTAATTCTTCCATATATCATTGGATTGTAGAAGTTGTTCCATCGCTTGTATACATATCTGGCAAGAAACGGTTTAGGTTTTTGCCACTTCTAGGTGCTCTAAACAAGCTGATGAAGGCACCAGTCAATTTAGAAGATTATTTTACAATACTCAGCTTAATTTCACCACCTCTAGCGTTGAAGGTTTGAGTGATCGTGTGATACATCGCAAATAGCTAATTTTAATCATTGAGCCTGTAATAAGTGTTGAGCAATGTTGTTTTTGACTGTGTTGTCTAATGTAATTATTTCTGCCCTTACTTCACGAGATATATGGATCAAAACTGAAGGCTTGCGGATCCAATTGAAAGAAGAAGGGTTGCTATAGAAAAGGGCTATGCGGCTAGGGGTCAAAAAGAAAGCGGGCGGATCGCGGTTCTGGGTCAGAAAGAAAGGAGAAGGGTTGTGGGTCAGAAAAAAAAGGGTTGTGGGTCAGAAAAGAAGGGTTGTGGGTCAGAAAAGAAGGGTTGTGGGTCAGAAAAGAAGGGTTGGGGGTCAGAAAAGAAGGGTTGGGGGTCAGAAAAGAAGGGTTGTGGGTCAGAAAAGAAGGGTTGTGGGTCAGAAAAGAAGGGTTGTGGGTCAGAAAAGAGGGGTTGTGGGTCAGAAAAAAAGGATGTGGGTCAGAAAAAAAGGGTTGTGGGTCAGAAAAAAAGGAATCCCGATGATGATTTAGCTGTTCAATTTTGTTCTAACAAAAGGAGCCTGTATGAGCCTGTACTGTCTACCGGTGTACAATGGTGTACAGTGCTCAGTGTTTTGGTGTTCAGTGATGTTTTCAAGAAGTCTATGTGTTCTAGGTTCTTTGATCCTGGATGTACAGATTCTTGTGGCTATATGTGGCTGTCTCAAAGCTTGGTGGGTAGGCTGGGACTTACATTGAGACAAGTGAGGCCTCAAAGGAGAAGAAGCAGAGGGAGGAGGAGTTTCGGCGGTTGGGGTCGTGGGATTTCAATGGTATGTCCAGAATATTGTGGAATATGCCTACATTGACCCCCCAAACCATCCCAACAGAACATATGCCATACAGGGAGTGCTTGGGTACAGCAATGGAGATGGTACCATAAACAGGTTCCCGACGCTGGTTCACTTGACGCGTGACTCCAAGTTCATGAGGATGTCAGGTTTAGCGTATCACTCTAGCGATGATTTGGTATGTTTAGATGTGGACATGGGCTCGAATTCAGGGAGGACAGGACACAGCTTTGTCACGGGTTAATGCAAGACTTTGTCACGGGTTTCTGTATCTTTGTGGGTGTTCAGCAGATTTGGCATCGCTTCAATCTTGCCACATGAATCCGCAAAAGTGTTGCAACGAGTCTTTTTGCTCAAGCGGAGTGATCAGACAAGATCAGCATCAAGACACCTTGCATGGAACGAGATATAGAACGATTAATGAGCAACCTCGAGTCAAGCATGCATTGAAGCCAAGTGAGGTATATAATTGCACACACCAATGACCGAGGCAAAAGTACTTTTGCCAAGCAGCTGGGTTTTTGGAGCATTCCACTTGGCCACTTGCTATCCAAACGTTCAATAGAGACCTGAGCAAGAGCAAAACCCCGCACTGAGGTTCAATCCCGACCTGACCTATCCACAAATACCTCGAAGTGCCACATTGGCTTTGAGTCGACGCGAGTAGGCCGTAGGCGTTTGATGCGCCCTTCACCCAGTTTTTGCCGTATGGCGTCGTGGAAGATTGCTGGCCCATGGCCACTCTTGCTGTTCTTGCTTGTAGGTGCTTGCGGTAAAGCCAGCGATTTGGCCAAAGGCAAGGTTTGGGAGATCTTGATTTCGAAACGGATGTGAACATGCCGAAGATCAAAAGCCAATGCAGAAGAATCATGTAGCGATTTGGGTGAGTTTCCCGGTCCCGCCCATTTTTGTCGCCTAGGCATAGTGGCTATTGGCAGTGTGAAAAAGTGATGAAACAACCTGAAATCAGACAGGAGCTGGATGGAAATAGACAAGTGTGTAGGTGAAGAACATGGAACATGACCACGGACATATGTGGGCATTTGTATTTTGAGGCTAAATCGCCCTTACCTAAACATCCTAAACACAGAAATTGATAGTTGTGATAGTTGACCTATCAAACATACCACTAGACTTCGAAAATGAATGCCCTATGTTGCCACCTAAGAATTCAGACTTCGCCACTGGTGTTACTTTTCGGTTCCTGCTTGCAACCAAGGCAAAGAACGGCTGACCTCAGAGCACTTGGCGCCCTTGTTGCAGCGCCTGGAGCAGTTGGAGTCAGCCAAGCAGGCGCATTCGCCGGTGCGTTGCTTACGACATCTTACGACGCATTCCTTTCAGCACAGAGTTCGTTCAGCAGCTGAAAGGTGAAGTGAATGGGAATGTTGACCATGAAACTAGAGGAGATGAATCCAGGCTTTCTTCAGACGGGACGATTAGCAGGGAAGAGGTAGGAGCAGGGAAGAGGTAGGAATTCTACATGATTTTGATCAACATCATTTTGCATAACAGTCTGTATATGTCAGTATGTAAAAAAATGGTTTCACTCAGATAAAAGTATCTGATAGACCTTGTCTGTCAAGAACTTGTCAAAAACAGTATTTCAATGAACAATAATCACCCGGGTTGTGATGTACTTTTCAGTTGTTGATTCCATACCTCAACTCAGCTGAGTATACTTAGTGCTGCAATTGGACGTGCCAGCAGTCTTTCTATCCTGGTCTCAATCCAAGGGTTTCATTTTGGGTAGTATGATTTGCAGGCCCAGAGAAATCCTTAAAGTGGTGGGAGTTGATTTTTATCATAAACAAGCCATTAAGTTGGAAGTCCAAGTGTCTTGAGATTTGATATCAACGTTCTACAAAGCTGGGAAAAGAGCTGTTGGCTTGTGTTGATGAACCAAACAATCAAAACAAATCCCTAATTAGTAAAAATAAAATTAAGATGGTGGGTATCAAGCCACTAACAGAGTGTGACACTTGGGGTAGTGTAACAATTCAATTGGAATACAGCTGCTGCCTGCTGGCTTTCCTCCATTGTTGCTTTCAATAGTGTGCCATGTGTTTTGTGTGTTCCAACTGCATGCAAAGTGCTTCAAACCTTGTAAGATGATATCTCCAGAAATAACCAGCCCACTCAAAGGGCACCTAATTATTAGTGGTATGACTGAAAGGATGACTGCTTGCCAAAGCTGTTGATTGTGATTTGTCCACTTGGTATGATTTGCTTGTTTGAACCAGTGTAAAATGTGCAGTCATTGGTCCAACACTAGGAGTTTCTCTAAGTATTTACAGGTAAACCTTGGATCCTTTGGTCGGGCTGGGTTGGGTTGGGTCGGACTGGGTTGGGCTGGGTCGGACATTTCTGGCCGGACTTCATCTTCATCGACGGCCTGCCTGCTTCCAACGACATGGTCTTCAAGGTGACACTGGCGTGTTTGCCGAGTCGTAATAACTCTCGATCGTCCGACAAAGCGTGGGTTTCATTGTTGCATCTTGAAAATTTGTTGGCTCAGGAAAAGGATAAAGACAGCTATGCATGTTCTTAATTCCAATCCACAACTCCACATTCCAACAGCAGTCACAGCTTCAACACATAATTTTCACATGTTATTTTGTTTATAGTTTCCGGGTGAGCCCCCGCGTGTTTACTTAGTCAAAGATTTAATTGAATTAATGTCACCCAATCTAATCTATTTATTCACCACTTCACAGATTTTTTTGGGTCGGACATCTCACTCTGCGGGTCGGACAGTGCATGGCCTGGGAGGGAGACCTCTTTGCCTTCGACCCGGACGAGGGCTTGGGCCAGAGCCCGTACAGGGGGCGGCCAATTCAGGAGCCGGTCGGACCAATGCCGCCGCAGAGGCAATGGCAAGGACGAGGTCGGACCTACAACGATCGGGGACCCAGGTCGTACAACGCGTCGGACATTGACGTCGAGCTAGTGAACTGGGAGTTTGTTGAGAAGGAGCCTCTGGTCATTGTGGCGTACGGGTGTGATTACTTTTACATGGACCTTGGACACCGTGACCCGATTCACAACAGGCCGGACCCAGGTGGTAACTTTGCCCTTTATTAATTCATTTTATTTTTCAATTTTGATTTCCACTGTGTTTCTTCAATGTAATGTAAGTAAGTAAGTACAGATTGTTTTATAAAATCCTGCTTTACTAAGACCCCTTGCCGGACCATATGGTTGCGCCGGGCCACCAGTGCATGCCGTTCCTTTTGAAGAAGCTGTTCTGGAACGCTTCTATCACCACGTCGGACATCAGGGGCTTCATGCCTAATGACCCGGAGGCGACGAGAGCATTGCACGGACTCGAAGGTGCTTGGTCCGGGTTTATTTTGCAATTTTTAGTTGAACGCTTTGTTGAAAATGTTAATAATCACTATTTAATAAACTAAATTATTGATCTGAATTCCGTCAATTAAGGATCGCCGGGCCACAATTTGCCGATGTTTCGTGCGATGATGGCGTCGGAGGAAAACTTCCCACAGGCATTTTTGTTCTACTACTCGATGATCAAGTCATCGTACAATACCTTCAAGGGCATTGACGGACTCCAGCACGTTGTCGGACTGTTCTGTATTTTGGCAGTCAAATGATGTTTGTTTGTCAGGTAACATAATTAGTTTTAATGTCTAACTTTAATTAATTTTCAGTTATTTGGTTTTGTTCGAATCATTGCCCATGGTTCGAGGTACAAAGGGCAAACACAGGTCGGCCCTCCTGGCCGCAGCCCTTTCAAAGGCCTTGGACATTCCGTGCTGGCTCCCGACTTTCAGCGGGACTCGCACGTGGACTGAATGCAAGCGGCATTGGTTTATACCATTGTTCACGGACGAACTTTGGCAGGAGGTGGGCTTGTCGGACTTGGTCTCGACGGCAGAGAGGCTGATGAAGGGGCCACTGCCCCCATCTTATCCTCCTGCCAAGCAGGAGGCGGACAAGAAGGGCGATGAGGAGGTGGAGATGGTGAAGGCTTCGGAGGAGGAGCCGGACGAGGTTAAGGAGGAGGAGGCGGCGGAGGTGCCGGAGGCTAAGGACGGACCGTCACCGGCACCGTCACCGGCGGACATGCCGGAGGCAGCTGAAGGGTCGGACAAGAAGGAGGAGGGCACGCCGACGGAGCCGCCACCACCAGTGGCACCAGCGCCGGACCAGGACCAGGAGGAGGACGGACCCTGGATCGAGATCGCCAGACCGACTCGGCCAGCCCGGCCCAAGCCACAGCCAACAGCCCGGAGTCCGGACTCACCCCCGTCGGAGTTTATACAACGGAGCAGTGATCAGGAGACTTGACTTAATTGAAGACAAGTGAGTCGTTTATTATCGTTTTGTTAGATTAACTAAATAAATATGTTTCATTGGTGGCAATTTAAAGAACCCCGATAATTAGACTGCCTGTGTGAAGATGTCACACATTTGCATTTAAGGTGAAGGAGAAGGTGATGGACATGCATCCTGGATTGGCTCATGCTTTGGCAACCATTGGACAGAGACGGAGACATGTGTCAATAGATGACTCGCTTTGGGCGGCCCCTGGCTTGCAAGAACATAATGTTTTGTTTTAACGTAGTATAACAAAAATCAATAGGATGTTTGATTTGAAAACTATACTAATAATAGTGACAACATATATTAAAATTACTTGTTATGTATCTAAGGCCATCTACACCCTTCTAGCGCATTCTCCATACGGCTTTGCCGTTATGTCGGACTTGCTGCCACAAGTGCAACGCATCTCAGACTTCTGTTCAGTCAAGTTTCTTTGTTTATTTGAATAATTTCAAGATGATCACTCTCTGAATTCTTTGTTGACAATAAAGAAACTAAGGGGAGGCCACATCGAACGCCAACTGGGCGAACCCCAACAGTTCTTTGCAGTCCATTATCCGGAGAAAGCATCAGCGTGTAATGCATCCGAAGAGTGACTCAG